TGTGTGTGTGTGCAGCTGTTTGGTAACCTGGCACTGGATGAGAAGGGTGAAAGTGCCATCAATGAGCACAACAACTTCAGAACCTTCATCATGGCCCTGATGCTGCTGTTCAGGTCAGTGTTTCTGCCTCGCTGTGTGAGTTTCACCCTGAGATGTTTCCAGCTCCTGTAACGTCTCTCTCTCTCGCCCAAACATGCAGGAGTGCCACTGGGGAAGCCTGGCACGAAATCATGTTGGCGTGCCTGGGAGGCCAGGAGTGTGATCCAGCCTCAGGGAACACGGAGCCCGAGTGTGGCAGCACCTTCGCCTACACCTACCTCGTCTCCTTCATATTTCTCTGCTCTTTTTTGGTAAATACACACAAACGAAGGCTCCGTTTCCAAAGTCAGATCATAATTAATATTATCTTTCACCTTTTTTAAATACAGTGTTTTTTTTATTGTCCCTCATTTACCACTTCCTTTATTTTTCATCTTTTGTTTTCAAATTTTTCTTGACTTAGACCTGAAGGACTTTATTTAATCAACTACATATTTCTCACCTTTTTTTATTTTTATTAATTTTTTTTACCAGATGCTGAACCTGTTTGTGGCCGTCATCATGGACAACTTTGAGTACCTGACCAGAGACTCGTCTATCCTTGGTCCGCATCACTTGGATGAGTACGTAAGGATATGGGCCGAGTACGATCCTGCCGCCTGGTGAGTGGCTCAAACATCATTACACACACAAACAGAACGAGGCAAAAAAAAAAATGTTTGAAGTGCTATTTTAAAACTTTAGAGGAAACTCTCTCCAGTTACAGTCACTTCTCAGTTTTCTACCTTCTGTCTGTCGGCTTTCCTTCTCGCCTCAGAAACGGAACAGAGATCAATGCCATGATGTCATGTCTGGGAAAAAAAAAAAAAAGTGTATTTATTTTTTATTTTTATTCCCGTGCCTCTTCCTCACGTGGCACAGTTGGTGCCGGGCTGTACTGAATGTAACCCTGTCCTCTTCCTCTTCTGCCCTCTGTGAGAAGTGTGTTGACGTGACTGAGCGTGCTCAGAAGGAAGTTTCACCAGTGTGAAAAAATGTCTCCTGCTTGTCTCTCTCTCCCTCTCTCTCTCTCTCTCTCTCTCGCTCTTTTCAAACCTCGTCACCAGAATGACTTTCTACATTTCTGCAAACTACAGATGAGTTTATTTTACACACAGCACGTCCTGTGTGAGCGTAGCTGGAGTAAGAACCTGAAGAGGAACTTGATCTTCTACTTCTATTACGTCTAATTCTACGTCTTCTGCTACGACATTTTCTTATAATTCTCCGAACTTCCTCTTCCTCTCCTTCGTCCTTTCCTTGGATTTATAAGAAAGTACTGAAAAATAAACAGAAGTGTTGATGTGAATTCATACAACAGTTTTATCAGGTTGGTAATAATTCAAATAAAAAATATTATTTAGGAGGTTTAGGCTTATGTACAATTATATATACAGCCTATATATAGCCTTAAATATATATATAAATTTTTTTTTTTTTTTTTACTTTTCTAAACAGAATGGTTTAATTAGGAAAAATATACCATCGTATTTTTCCTCATGGTTTGCAGAAAAGTACATTTCTGGTTGATCAGGCCTCTCTCTCTCTCTCTCTCTCTCTCTGTTCCTTTCTTTCGTGACTTGTGTGTTCCCTCTCCTAACCTTCCCTCCTTGTATTTTTCTTGCAGCGGGCGCATACATTATAAGGATATGTACAGTTTATTGCGAGTTATCTCCCCTCCCCTGGGCCTTGGCAAGAAATGCCCTCATAGGGTGGCCTGCAAGGTTTGGACCAAACCCCTAAAGCACAAACCTAAACACAACCTGCTCGCCTTTAAGAGACTGGAATGAATGTCGCTCTCTTTCACTTAAAAAAAACAACAAATTATTTTCTATTTGAATTTTGTTTGTTTTGTTTTGAAACTTATTTTCATTTGACTTTTCTGTCTGGATTTGCATTGTTCAGTTGATTTTTAAGCTCATTTCACCATAAAGTCATTTATTTGGGGGGTGGGGGGGCGTTACTGGTGTACATGCATTTTGACATGATTTTGAAAATGTATGGGACAATGCAGAAATGCACACACAGACACACACAGACACACATACATTTGTAGACACTGGCACACAGACTGGTAGTGGTGTGTGAAGCATGGGGGGGGGGTGCACTGCACTGCACTGCACTTTTAACACTGCAAGAGTTCCACTGGTGTCATGAGAACCATGTAGATGCTAGATTTTCAGATTCCTGTCAGCTGGTGTCTTTCATTTCTGCTTGCTGTCTAATTTTTTGCCTGGGCAGAAAAAAAAAGATTGTTCTTTTTGTTTGGGTGTGGATGTGGGCGACGGGTGAGGGATTGGGTTCATGTCATGTAGAGAGACTGACTTTATCTCCATCCCCTTCACGTGTTAACTGACAACACGGCGTTCTCAAGCTGTGCACCATCGAGGCTCAAACCAGATCAGGCTCTAAATGATCACATCGACAGCTGCAAAAGTCGCAGAAAAGTCCGTGAAATGCTATGAAAAAATCACCTAAAATACAAACAACAGTTTGATACTGGTGAAAAATACTACACCTTACCGACACTGAATTGAATTTAAATTGTAGTAACCAGAAACGTTTGCATTTTCTAGATCGTTCTTGAGTGTTTAGTCTAAATAAATACTAAAATATTTCTGTTTTACGTCACGTATTTATCCAGTAGTTCTGTCTCAGTTTGAAATCCAGTGTTAAATGTATCTTTTTAGAAAAACATACAGACCTTAATACTATTATTCTCCTCCCGTTATGACTTTTTTTTCCTTCCCTGCTAACCGCTATTTTCTTGTTAGCTGGTCGGGCTAACGGGCTACAGCAGTTATAAAGTAGTATGTTCAAACACAGAGGGATAAATCGTTCTCAAACCGCAGACAAAGTTACTCAGGATTTTTAGTTTGCCGGAACTACTTTTTCAAAGAAGAGTTGTCCTTAGTGCGGCCACTGCTGGAGCATATGGGAAATACATTTGACTCAAACAGAATTTATTCACCTGAAATTTGAACTTTAGCACACATGCTAAGGCTAATGGTAAAAAAAAATGTCAACACTGTTGCTTAGATTAGTCCTGTTAATCGTGCGACTACGAATGGTTGGTGTGTTTTCGACACTTTCACATGGAAAATAGTATGGATGTAATTACACGAACAAAAACTAATAATAAGACATTTATAGTTCGATGAACAACAGATTTAAAGACAGAGCGAGTAGGAAAAAAAAACAAAACTACAAGCCAGTGCCTCCATGGTGCACGCTTGTAAACCGCTGTTGTAAAAATAGACTTGAATATATCCGAGCCTCTAGCGCCCTCAGGAGTTAGGTGTCCACCAGGTCCTTAAAACCTCTGTTTAATCACATGTGTTGACACAGATTTGTGAGAATAATCACTGGTTTGCGACCTAGCACGCTGTGCTAAAAGTAAACGGCTAATGCTGCACATTTTTAGTGAAGTAAGCACGTGTTTGAGAAATAGAACATGACAATTCATAAGGAAATAGTTGTTAATATATATATATATATTTTATTTTATGGCACGCTGTGCTAAAAGTAAACGGCTAATGCTGCACATTTTTAGGGAAGTAAATTTGTGTTTGAGAATTAGAACATGACAATCCATAAGGGAATAGTTGTTAATATATATATATTTTTTATTTTATGTATTTATTTTTTTGCGCCAGAGACAGAGACAGACGGGGACACTCCTCCGTCTGTCCTGTCCCTGGTCAAACTGTCAGCCGTGGCTTCTATGAATATGTGTAAACACAGGTGTGAAGACGAGGTTCCTGGTGGACAGTCCACCGTTGTAGAGGACCGCCATTGACCCGTCATTGTGACTCACTCCAATCTCTGCAGCGGTGCTTTTCGTTGCCTGCCTGAAGCCCCGCTGCTGGTTCTATACGAGTGGCAGAAGAGAAAAAAAACAAAAAAAAACAGAAAGAAATTCCCTTTTCACCTCGCATAGAACGGTATTTGACTAACTAACTAACTAACCCACGTAACTAAATAAACCTCCAGCCCCACCCTTCTCTTCCAGCCTTTCTCCCCCCCTCTCCTCCTTTATTTTTTATTTTTTTACCAAACCTGAGTAGAAGCCAGGATTCAAACCCGACTCTCTGCGGTCTTTTTCCTGTTCTTCCTCTCTTCTCTCCTTCTCTCTCACCACAGCAACCACATTTCCACAGTGGTAGAAAAAAAAAGTAACCTTTGTATTTCTTCCCTTCCTTCTTCCTTTCCTTTGTGTTCTTTTTTTTAAACACCTCACGTCTCTTACCTGAAACACACGTCTGTGTGTCTGTGTTCCTCCTCCTCCTCCCCCATCCCACACCCCCATTTTTATTTATTTTTTTACTCT